GTTTTGTCTAAGCTGGGTAGTAGTTGGAACGGATGTATGATCAAGTGCCTTCACCTAGGATGTCCAGTAAAACTAATGCCGTATGCACCACTGCTGAAGTCCCAAAAGAAAACTGTTTATTTTGAGAATTTATTTACCGCCACCCCTTCAAGAGCAGGCTTGGCAAACACTTACTTATGGACTAACATATCTCACTTGGACTAGTTGAACCTGATATGTCTTATGACCTATCTAATCCTATCACTATCACATGCCTATCTCGCTTATTATAATTTCCATTCCCTTTTTATTTTCACAGTTCGGTCTCTACATACTGTTTTGCCAATTAATTAGTTTTAATTTTTTAAGTAATCATCTTGTCTCAGCTCTCATATTTCCCGCTATTTTTCTATCGAGCAATTTCCTACCTGGTAATGTGATAGCTGCCAGTTACCTAAACTCTACTGCCTGAAAGATGCACATATGGGGATAGTTAACATACACTTATTTCGTAATTATCCGCATTTCCTACGAAGAACTTTGTAGTGGTTGATACTATGTCAAGCCTACACAGGCTATCCTAGCTTCTAGACAGATCGATCTATTCATTCTTTTCAAACAATATTTTGACTTGGTCACTTATCGGCTTATTAAACTTGACTATTCTTATATGATCGTATGTGTGTCTGCAACTTATTTTCTGCCTGACAATAAATATTGAATAACGCTTGGTTAAATTGGGTCGGATGACTCGCCTTCTCTAACCCGCTTCGCTCTCTCCTCTTCATTTGATTTCCCTGATTATCTGTTCAAACAAATCAGTGCATAGCATACATGTATTCAAAATCCATTCACATTCACATCAGTCATTCAATGACGTGGGTGAAATCGATAAAAATTTACGGGAGTAGCTTGGATGTATATTTCGATAATAATTGGAGTCAGATAAAGGGTCCACCAAAAACATTCAGATTACAAGGCACACAAACGTACATATTAATCCCAGACTTATTATAATTAGTGCAGCGGATGTGTCAGACTAGTTCCAACTAGACAGTACCAAAGACCTTAAATCATATAGAGATAACAGGAAGTGAGAGCAATGATGTCATTTTTCAAACTCGTCACAACTATTTTGAATATTAGAAAAACACCAAGTTTACCTTTCCAGAACAAGACCCTATTTTCAACAATACATACCCAGATCCAAACTGAATAATATCCCGTTATTTCCGCGTAGTAAATTTCGAGGTTCGAAGTTGCTTAATAGTATTGAGTCCTCGCACTGAGCGAGTCTTCCAAGTTTGGCGGAGTGGATACCACGGCACGGGTACTGGGGTAAGCCAGGGGTTTTCGCGCACATGTTACATATTGTCGTAGATTTTTTGTGTCGTTATTTATCAGCTATTAACAGCCCTTTTTCCATCACACGTCAATTTTCGTAATGTTTGTGCTTGTTACATAGTTTTTATTCCAATTTATTAGTAGTTTGACGTATTTGTTGCTCACCACCTAAGTGAAACTTTGGTAAGCCTAACATGGTTATTCGTAACAATACAGACTCAAGCAAGTGAAGTTCACCATTTTTCAAGTCAAAAAATAGATCACAAATTGCGCTTTCAGGAAAATAAGCTTTAAAACCTATTACATCTGGTTCACCTCCTTGATTACGATGATTATGAACATGGATGTTGGTAGTTGTTTGTAAAATGTAGGTTGAAGCAATTAAGCGTTAGACTATTTTTATTTATTATATATTTTGCTAATATTTAGCCGTAAACAGTTATATCCATTATAAGTATCATCGTTTTATACTGAAGTGACTTATTATTATTTAACGTATCTGAGAAGAATTATGTGAGTAACAATTGAGGTTGATAGTCTTTTTCATCCGCTTTATGAACGTATATAGAAACAGTGTATAACACCACTGGAAGTGCCACATTAAGCAGTCACAGATTATTTATAAGTAAAACGATGTGTGTTTCTTCTCAGCATGGTGAAAAAATCATGTCGTAGTTAATACTTATTTATGATGTCTGTCATAGGGTTTACGAATAAGTTTCTGTAAACAGAATCCACAATCACTGGCCAAATTATGAACAAAGTTATAATGCATATTGTCGAGTAATATCTAAATTGTGCTTACCAATTTTTTTGTTTATACCAAATGTCTAGATGAAATACTAGAAGGTTTATAAAATGAAGAGCGCTGTTTACATGAAATAAGAAACTTATAGGTTATTCGTCACCTGCTAGTGAACTCATAAATATACTGAAATCAAAGTGTTAAGGCAATATGAACTGTGAAACCCTTAACATTTCATTTACATCATAAACTTGGTATAAACAAATGTCATAAGACTGTGAAGCGTTCACAGTTATATGATGGTAATTTGGAGCTCCAAGTCCTTGATACGACACAACCCTAGAATCAAATAACAACTATTAATGAGTTAATTCTTGAATTCCTACTGCATTACAGACTGACTCGGCATAAGTCTAAAGTAATTCATGCAAAATACGTGACGAAAAGTGAACGAGCAATCGAAGCTAAATCATAAATTTATAGCACTCATATCACCTTTTTGCCACACTAATTAGTCACATTTTCCTCATAAGTCGAACGATGCCTTTATGTTGTGATCATAGTAACTTCAGCTATTTGTAAATAACACTAATTTGTGATATGTCTGTTATAAAGATTACCAATGAATTTCTATTAACGGAATCCGAAATCTCTAATGAATAGCACTGTTTACAAATAAGGGACTTATAGGTACATTCTGTTACCTGCTGTTTGATTAACCTATTGAATTTAATACTGGTAACAAAGTTTAATTGTTTGTCCCAAGACTGATTTGTTGTTTTTCAGAATAGTATGAAGCTTATGGAATTTATGATCACTATGGCAGTTGGGATCACAGATCAAGTTGCGAAGCAACAACAGAGCTAACGTGTACACTACAAAACAGAGAATGCTAAATTAATGCTGTCGGCAGTTATTTTGTGCTTCTTCACACAGTCAAAGGTGACTTAAATATGAAAAAAACATCACTCATACGACCCAACACACCCACGGCAATTGAAATACGGAATGACCGCCTCTAGTCAGGCCGTTCAGGGTGGTCGAGAGGAAAGGGCGGGCTGCTTCGAACGGCTCTGACGTTTTTACCGTGCCGTTGTTCGTACTTCTGAATAAATCTGGATATGATGCGTTATGAAAAGCAAAGCTCACATGTCAGACCGTCTAGTCTTCACAAGGTGTGTAGAATTATGGTCTACTATGATATTAGTACTGCGCTAATAATAGACCTAATCCTAAAATTGTAGAATTGTCATGATATAACTGCCTAATCTATAAGATCCTACGTAGAAGTCATACCATCGTCTACACCCGCTCGTCGTATCGCAAAAATCACCAATGTAGAACAAGCTTAGGGTAGAGATAGAACAATATATTTAGTATGAATAAGAGATATAAGGTAACATTCAGTAGGGACTACTCCTGCATGGCCGAGCCATGCCATTCGACCAACTCCAATTCAATTTTTTGTTCGCACCTTCTCCATCGTTCGGTATTTCTCCGCGTTAAATATTGAATATCTATTACCCAAGTAGTCTCGTGTTCAGCTTTGTGGATTGTGTGGTTATTGTCCAATACCACTGCAAGTGTTCCTAGCATTTGAGTATATCAGGATTTCGGAACTACAGAAAATAATTTGTACAGCTCACATATACCTTCCTGAAGAATGCTCTTGAGACATGGAATGAACAAAGTACCATGTTAGAATGACTGTGCGTAGACTGCACTGCTGAAATTTCGGTCGCTGCCTAATCCATGACGAAAGTGCGTGTGTCATAAGTACCATATATTATGTCTTTAAAGCATTCCAGTGGTTTTACGACATCTTCGCGTCGTTCTTGCCTGCAAATAGAATACATAACAGTGTGCTCTTGCCCAAGACTATCAGTCACCACTAGCTGGAACAGTGGAAAACGTTAAGATAAATTTATTACTATTCGGTACTAACCCATCTTTATTGGTCTGATAAGTCGAATCAATACATATTACCTCTGGGAACGCGTGGTAAATAGCTATCAGCTCCCTGCGACTGAGGCAAATCATAGATGTGTTCTCATGTTCATCGAGTACTTTAACTTCAGTGTTTGCTTAAACGAGCTGTAAAATGTCATTGATATTTTCAGTGTCTAAACTCAACTAATTACAATGTGAGTTCAACAACCTGAGTACAACTGTCGACGCATTTTTACGGTATCGCCCTTGGTAAGCTGTTTATGCAGCTTCCAAGAAACCAGATTCCGTAAGCTACGAGTTGGCGTATTACTCAATAGAAACGTTCTTAAATATAAGCGTTCACTTGACGTCAAATGCATCGACAGAAATATATCCTTTTGTGCAAGGATGGTTGTGCACGGTCTTAATAGAGGTGACTTTCAGCTCACCATTTACTGCACGGACCCAAAAATCCAGACTGACAATGGCAATATTTTGACCTGAAGAATAAATTCATTTGAAGTAAAGCATACATAGATGACCGACGTCATCTTCTTAAAAAGACAAATTTGTCTAGGTTGTGGTGGCGAGTTATAAGTTGTATGCTGTTCGGAAGAATGATGATCACTATCATCATCTACACCCTGAACACAAGCATCTGACTCTGACGAACTGCGTTTACGTCCATATGTACAGACATATCTCACGAAAAAATACTTCAGAGTTGGGACATCACTGTTCTTTTTACATACGAACATAACGTACTTAGTATGCGTATACTAAAAAAACAATTATTAATCACAGAAGTCATATTACCTTATGTACTTCTTTCAAACAGGTCTCAAAGTTGTCCCAGCTTGTAAATCTTCGAGATAACGTAATATCATTGAAGATTCGTCCTATATCATGCATCATCACGATGGCATCGTCTTCGTTACTTGAAGAATGGACGTTATCAGATATGGTGTGGCTGAACTCAATCAAAATCTGAAAATGTATTGATCTGACCCCTTCAGAAAAACTTCACGAGTTGTCGATGTGACGCACCAATCATTTTGCGACAGTTTGACCTTCAAGTGCTCGCAACCTCCTTCGGTGGACGACACCCCTGAAGTGTTGCATTTTTACCGTGCCGGACGCCACCTGATGGAGTTGAGTCCCAGTGAGTTTTCAGATTATTCGGTACTGCAGGACAAAGAAAATATTGCTGTATGCAATAAGCCGAAATCAGAGCTCATGAATGAAAAGATTATCAAACAATGTGAATTCTATTTCTCGGATGCAAATATTCTAAAAGACCAATTCCTTCTAAACCTAGTCAAGTCATCAAAGGAGGGATGGGTGGATCTCTCTGTAATTGCAGGTTTTAAAAAACTCCAGTCTTTGACGACGGACCTTAGTATCATTCGTCAGTCACTGGCAGCTTCAACCAAAATTGAGGTGTCAGAAGATGGGAACACAATTCGACGCATTGATCCTTTGCCCGTATGGGATAAATCCGTTTACTACCGTACCATCATATTGTCGGAATTCCCAGAAAATTCGAACGTCACAGTGGAAAGTATTCAGGAGTTCTTCACGGTAAGCCAACCCCTTTTGTTTCTTTGAATTTTGACAGTGATTGTATCGATAAAATTCAGTCGTTATCATGGGCAAATTTAGGCTTATTGGAGTGGTTGGGAATGGCGCAGAAGCTTTCGCTCAACGAGATTGTTTACTTAGTAACAGTGGATCACCAATGCTTTTAGGTAGGCGCCAAGATGTTCAGAACAGATCAGACTGCAGTTGTACCTCTAGTTTCCGGATATTTCTTTTAGGCTCGCGTTTAACGCGAATCTAATTAGGTGTTTTGAAAGCAGACTAAGGATCTTTTATTGCCTTTTTGGCATGGTTTTGTGCTTGTTAAATCCCATCATGAAGATTCAGTCCAAAAGACATGACTTCTCAAGCGTTCGATCAGCGCGTCTAGCGGTCCTCTGTACTTTTCAGGATGCTTAACTCACCACGTAAACAGGGACCTGTACCTGTACACAATATATCAATTTAGACTCCAGTGGGCCTGTGTAAACCAACTGATTGATTCGTACTCTCAGCAACTAACAAAATTATCTTCAACCTAACTAACCAGGCACGGAAAGATTTCTGAGTTTTCCAGCTTCGGTAAAGCTTAGTGCGTAGAACATTAAGGAGAGCTTTGCTGATATCGACGTTGATTACTTTTGACTCGTAGACACCTATATACTCTGTAAAGCCCATGTTCATGTAGAAGTATAGTACATTGGCTAAAAGTTGGTCAAACTATCGGTAACCATGTACTTCAGAGATAGTTCACTCTTGGCTTTTAAACATCCTTGCTTTGTCCTCTAAAATGTTCTAACCTGGTCAAATGTGTCATGTGTAAAGTCACTTTTAAGCATAATTCATATGAAAACCCACTTTAGCCAGTGGTAATTCGTATCCAGTAAGAAAGGCGTTCTCCCTATGGTTACCAACAATTTTCTAGCTACCCTATAGTCTGAGCTATGCTAGTAGATTCAGACTGCCTGGTTGGGGTTGACCAGGTAATTGATCAGTGGTTGGAGACTAGTTAGCATGGCTCAATCCCTCATAATGGCGCAAATGCATCCGCTGTGTAGCGTCTGATTTCAACTTTTATTATCCCTTCTTACATGTTTTTCCAAACTATGTTCTCAGTGTTTTATATTTTTATCATTTCTATCACATGACTTCGATCCCTTTTGTTTTTATCTGATCGTGTTAATCGGATAGGAAACGTGGGCCAACACACATCTGTGCCAGACTATGTTGATGTCGTCTCCCTATCCTCCAAAAGTTCTCTAGGGCATCTGAGCTCACCACTAACCTGTTTTCGGTCCATACACAGTTCACTGCTTTTCAAGCTGATGATTATTTATATCCATATGTCTTTGTCTTAGAATCATCCATTGTTTAAGAATATGTATTCCCAACCAAACAACAGAAATAGTGATATAGAGGGTCAATCAGAAGCCTAATGAGAGAGTCAATCAATGGCTCTCCATATTACCTTTTCCTCCTGAAAAATAAGTCTTGCTCCTTGGATTTAACTGAAAGCGTTAAAGAAAATGTCGTTTTGATGGTTTCCCTACTGTCTGATCATCACTTATGCACTGATCCTGATGCTCCAAACTAACTCAATCAAATAATCTAGTTGCAAGTTTCAGCCAGGAGGTTCTTTATCTGAATTTAGTGGTCTATCGCAGCTGTGGATTACATGTCGCCCATTAGAAAACTGATGTTCAATTCTCTTCGCCTTGGGTTTATAATCTTGTCTTCTTTTTGAAAATATGCTATTAAATGAAGTCGGAGTCTTCCTTCCGAACACTGAATCAGCACGGGAGATACCCTTAGATGAGGCTGAATTCGGGTTTATTTCTGGTGGTTTTTTCGGTCTTGCTCTGGTCTCGTGGTTATTTTCAAAATCCCTGGAAAATTGTCTCCATTTGTGCATCATATGAGGATATAAACATACTTGATAACAAATTGGATAACTGATCGAGCATTTTTGAATCTAGATTACAAGTTAGATTAAATGGGTAACCTGCTTCGGTTTGGGCGCCCGGGCAGTATCACAGCCCTCACACAAATCAAGTGAGATTTGTGTGGCGCCTATGTATCTGGTGCCCTCTTGTACCAATATCTATGTGTCCAAATAAATAAAAATAAAATAAATGGGTAATCAGACATTTTTAACTTCGTGACCCAATCAAGACCCAACAGATTGAAGAATTCATCAGCAACATAAAATTTGGGTTTAATTATTAAATCATTAGATCTTACTGTACATTTGATAATTCCAGAAACTTTGATTGTGATGCCCAATGCATTCTTTACGCAATCGTCAGTAGGATAAACGCTTGGCCAACCGAGCTCGTGCCAAGTTTTACGATAAATCAAAGTAACATCGGATGCAGTATCCAACCGCAAAGTGATAATGCGATCATTAACATTAATAGAATAAATACTTGCGTAACTAGTGGGAGTTAGATTTCGACAATACATGTACACAACTGATCCTTTTTGGTATTCGATAATAGTAAAAGGGTTTTCTGTGTTTACGAAATCCCTTATTATGGTCAGTTACTCCACATTTGCGCAATTGTGTTTATTGAATAGGCAGGAACGCGAAAAATGTCATGCCTCACAGTCCCAACAACTAGTAGGAGGCTTTGTAGAACGACGTGAACTAGATTCACGGGCATCATGAATTCGGTTCGCGCTAGGAAATTTTCGTGAATCATGCCTTGCGACATTAGTAGTGCGGTCTGAATGAGAAATTTTTTCATTTAATCAAATGGATTGGGATATGGACGTTCGATCATTTTAGCATCATTTTTAAGATTAACAATGTGACGACATTCATTTGTAATATCCTTCAACGTAAGATTGGGATTTGACTCGATTCGTCCTAAAATTCTAGTACGAATGCTTGAGTCTGACAATCACTGCAACTCTAATGCAAAGATAAGACACTTGAGTTGTTCATCAGAATGTGGACGCAACTTGGAACTCTCTTTTTGCTTATTAACAAATGATGTACATGAAACAAAATTACCTTCAGGACTCAACAATATAATAAAAGATCGACGTTTTTTTGGCAAGATAAGGTTCGAATACTTTTCATGTTCAGCTGCTCCATGTTTACGAAGTAAAATTCTCACCTTCAAAAAGCTATCTTGATGAGAAAACTTAACTTTGAAGATGTCTTCGTATCTCTTGAACCATGATTCAAATGTGACACCAGCATCAGGATCAAAATGAAACTCGCTCATTGAGTTGGTCAATGATTCGGTGGTTGAGCCCATTATTCGGACACGTGTACTGAATTTTCTTGACTTTGCAAGTTTTAACTAAGTCTTGATTAATACGAAGTATTTTGCTTTTGATCTAATTAATCCTTGCACAATAGTCCCTCTAATATAAAAAAGATAGCTCAGTGTGCAAAGTACATCATAAACCATCCTACTTTTGTTTTCATTTTACCCTGCAGATAAATGGCCATCCTCCATCTTTAGTGCGCGTTCTGTTTCCAAACCGCAAGATACCATCTGATCTTAAACGTTCACAAATACTACATAATCAACTCGGCGTCAAAATCTGCGCTGTTGTTGAATTCCCTAATCGACCTGATGCATTAAAAGCAATTAATTTATCTCGTTCTCACTGGGGGAAAATATATGCATACCTTTTGTGTAAGTTAATCTTCCATTTTAAATATAGTTCCTTAGTTTGTATGATGTTGACATCGTTTTTTAACAAAAAAATTGTCGGTTAGCTAACAATACACTGTTAAATCTTTCCATAATTGAGTCACTTAATGGTACTCAGTACAATCTCATTTGCTCAGCTTTTAACTAACTCCTTAACCATTCAAATCACAGTAGGGTGTGTCATGAGTAAGACCTTTAACGTAGCGGTTGGTAGTCACGTATTTGATTTCTGGTCAAATAACTAATAGGGAAGTTGTTTTCATTATTTTGAGTTACATCCCATAAGATCTCTTGTAGGATGCAGACAAATAGGTTCGCCAGTCATCTGGATGGTCTCATATAAATGCGCTTGGCTTAAATCTTAACGTCGGCTGAATGTTTAGATACGAATCGAAGTTGTTTTTTTATTAGCAATCAGATCTTCATCAAAAGTTGTTTCTTCCAATTTAATGGTGATCGAGACATTTTCGATCTGCACTCACTCTTAGTGAAGTCACCATCTAATGTTCAGTGTTCACCCTCTTCACCAAAATAGGTCAAACTAGTCTTTCATTAATAGTATGAATATAACAAACTATCTTTGGAATCATGATTATACTACTGGGCACATCAGATTCATCTCACAATTTAGTAGTTAGCGAGTTTCTAATAACAAAACTGATTAGTTTGGAAATGTTTTTATTTGTCACTGCTACTAAAAATCATGCCTATCTAAACTCGATGTATGCTGTCGACCCACATTAAAATGATAATAAGTACTGACTGTACTTCCAAGACTTAAAAATTTCAATTAGAACTAATTACACCTTCCAACAACGTTTCACATTAGTGTTTACATTTACCTTGTGACTTTTTAAACCTAACCCTTCAAAATGCAATCTTAACAAGAAAACAGTTACAAACCCTCAAAATTCACGTTATTAGCCTTTGTGAGTTAAAATTTAGTCATATAATCTGTTCTTCCGCGAAAGTTGATTGTATCGTATTACCCATGTAAGCGAATTTTCTCCATATACTGCTGTTTGCTGCATACAATTATCTTAGAAGTATCTTCAACTTTGATAGATGGTTGATGTCTAATGAGGTAATTATCTGTTCTTCTCCAGAAAGTGCGTTCGACAGATGTTGTAGTACTAGCCGGAGACTTGAATGCTCAGGTCGGGCGTCTAGGCACAGAAGAGAGTCGTTTGGGTGGTCGATGGGAAATTGTTGGTCGCAGGTGAAATAACAGGGACTGTCTACTGCAACTGTGCATAGACCACAACCTGTTTCTGGCTAGCACTAACCTTCGGCACAGTCATCGCCGATGTGCCACCTGGCGTCCTCCCTCTGCATCTCAAGCCTGGACTCAGATTGATCACATCGCGATCAGCTACCGCTGGCGTGGTTGTGTACAAGACTGCCGCTCCTTTTCGAGTACCTATCTGCACTCTGACCATGCCTTGGTCTGCGCCAATCTTGCCTTACTTTTCAGTGGACAACGAAGTGACCGTCACCAAAGGATTGATGTCAGCAAGTTGGTTGCAACTCCTGTTGCAAGTAAGTATCGAACCGAGCTAGCTTCTAGGCTAGCTATCATTCCACCGCAAAGTATAGATGAACATTGGTTGCAATTGCAAGACGCCATGAAAATGGCGAGTAAAGTCACTTGTGGGTTCGCGAAACGTCCCGCTTATAAGCACTGGGTTTCATCTGGTTCCTTGCAACTCATTGAAGCCCGTCGGTCTACTCCGGGTGACCGTGAGTTTGACCACAAACGAAGGATGATACGTAAGGAAATTGGGATAAGCTTGCGTGAGCACTGAGAAGCCTGGTGGTCGGAGCGTACTAATGAGCTGGAAGCAGCAGCTGCATCTGGTAACTACCGAAAGCTCTTCCAACTCATCCGAGCCACTGGCAGCAAGAAATCTGGTGTGAGCGAAACAATCTGCAAGGATGACGGGATGCCAATCACTAACATCCATCGACGTCTTGGACGATGGGCAGAATTCTTCGAAGGGCAGTTCAACTGGCCTGCTGCTCCTGCAACATCGGTCAAACTGTCCTGCCCTCCATGGCCGGTGACGACTGGTCCACCAATTGAGGCGGAAGTCTGCAAGGAACTCCAACTCTTGAAGCGCTACAAGTCACCAGGCCGAGATGACTTACCTCCGGCTCTCTTTAAAGATGGTGGTGACTTTCTGACTAAGGAGCTGACTGTGTTGTTTACAAAGGTCTGGGAACTAGAGAGTGTTCCAACGTCCTGGAACGAGTCGATAGTTATCCCTATCTTTAAAAAGGGTTCACGTCCTTACTGTAACAACTATCGTGGGAAGTCTACTTCCGATGTGGTCCAAGCTATTGGCTTTCGTCATACTTCTTAGGTTGTTCAAAACCCGAGAAAGATTGACTCGCGAGGAGCAGGCTGGGTTTCGTTCTGGTCGACGATGTATTGATCATATCTTCACCCTCCGTCAAATGTTAGAACACCGTCATACTTATCACAGGCCAACAATCGTAGTGTTTCTTGACATTAGGGCTGCCTTCGATTCGTTGGACAGGACTGTTCTCTGGGGTTGTCTATTGAATAAGGGTGTACCTGGGAAGTTTATTAACATCCTGAAGGCCCTATATACAAACACCTCAGTCAGAGTGAGGGCATACAACCACCTCTCTCCATTGTTCCCAATCTCACCATTCCTCTTCAACTTGGCCATCGACAACATTCTGGAAACAGCTCTGATGGATGTAAGCAGTAGAGGTGTGGATCTGTTGCCTAGAGAAAGACTTCTCGACCTTGAGTATGCGGATTATATTGTCTTACTGTGCGATAATGCTCAAGCCATACAATCCGCACTTAATCAGTTGGCAATCAGTGTCCGTAGATATGGTATGTGCTTTGCACCTTCGAAGTGCAAAGTACTTCTACAAGACTGGCAGGATTCTAATCATGTACTCAGCCTGGATGGTGAGCAGATAGAAGTAGTCGAGAAGTTCGTGTATCTGGGTAGCTGCATAAGTGCTGGTGAGGGTGTGAGTGATGAGGTCAACGCACGTATAGTGAAAGCCAAAGCGGCTTATGCCAATCTGGGCCACCTTTGGCGCCTACGTGATGTTAGTCTGGCTGTAAAGGGTCGGATCTACAACGCAGAGCAGTTTTGCTCTATGATTGGGAAACTTGACCTCTCCGAGTTGAGGATGTCAGACGACTCTCTGTGTTTGATCATCGCTGTCTTCGAAGGATCGCTGGCATCTAGTGGCAACACCATGTTAGTAATGCAGAGGTTCGCCATCATGTGTTCAGGCACAGAGACGATAACTCCATTGGCGTCACCATCTTGAAACATCGACTTCGGTGGCTTGGACATGTTCTGTGAATGTCGTCCCAGAGAATTCCACTTCGTGAGTTGTTTGCCGACTCTGGGATTGGTTGGAGAAAGCGGAGAGGTGGTCAGTATATGACGCAGTGTCGTGGTATGAAAGAAAGCTGCAAAGGGCTAGTTACTGTTGGTCCTTCTCGACTCCCTGGCTGGGTTCTGAGAGATGGTGCAACATGGTGTCTAGAGACGTTATCAGATATGGCTCAGAATAGAAGCTAGTGGGGATCCTGGTGTAAGCTTCGTTTACTTTTTTTTATAAAGTGGTTGTAACTTCCTTAACTGAAAGATTTCTTCTGATTATATCTTTCCTTCTCCACCATTACTACCATTCTTCTTCTTCTTGTTATTATTATTAAACCACCTTACACTAATCTATTCGTTATTATTATTATTATTATTATTATTATTATTATTATTATTGTTATTATTATTATTATTACACTACCACACTAATCTGTGGTCGTTATTGTTCTCCTTTTTTCCTTTCTCTCTTATACGCACCTTACATCTTTTTTCTCTTCCTATTTTCATTGTTATTGTGTGGCGCATATATCTCTGGTGCCCTATTGTACCAATATTTCTGTGTTCAAATAAGTAATAAATAAGATATTGTATTACTATGTTATGAGTCGTATTTAGTACCCTAAATTCATCTACTCCTTGTCTTCATTTGACTTCTGAGGTTTGGAATTATCTTATACTTCTTTTTTTATTGTCTGAATTCATGCTTTTGAAAGTATACTATCTATGCCTAATTTCTCAACTATCACTGATACTGCTATTTCTACTGCCCCGATCGAAGCTGCTACCTTGATGCGGTGGTCGGGCTTGCCTATTGTGATGACCCAACCGAGCTATATTGGCTGGAGCATATGTTCCTGCAGGTTCTACCATGCCAGGCAGGTCGATTGGTGAACGGTAAGACTAAAAGCAGCAACTCAAGGTCTGAGGGCGAAGTCGTACTGCTGACTGTAGAGAGGTGTGACGGCAGTAAGGTGTTTCCCTCGGACAACCAGCATGACAGCGATGCTGCCTTCCCACAAGGAGGGGTGGGGTTAGAAAAGGTCGACCCTAAAAATGTCACACCTCACTTTACCTCACGGATTTCCGTCTCCGGCGGTAAGGCCCTTTGAAGAACGGAGCTAACACGTCAAAAACCTTCCACAAAAAGGCCGTGCGCGACCGGCCTCAAGCAATTGTCCCTTGGGCTCTGCGGTCACGCTCCCAGGTCGTCAAGACCAACACTAATCCAATTTCCTTTTCAGGTTCCTCAAGAAATACCCTTCCACGGTGTGGGTAGCCGGGAAGTGACATCAGCCCTCATACCCGTAACAGCAAAAGAGACCAAGTTAGTCACATTCAAATCCTTCCTACACCTCCTAATGGCTCTCTTATCTCCCCGACTAACCCTTCTCACGTCGCTTTATCATCTCGCACCGCTAGGGCAAACGATTTGAGTACGCCGAACGCTATTCCTGGTCTCCTGAAACCACGCTTTAAACTACACGTAGGAGCTTTTAACGTACGAACACTTTGCCAAATAGGACAGCAGGCTTCCTTAGCTAAAACTTTAGAATCTCGCGCCATCGATGTGTGCTGCGTCTCCGAAACGCGCACACAGGATCCAAGTTGCGTCATTCATTTGACCTCACCATGCCAAAATAAAGAACCGACTCGATTTACGCTTCGTGTATCTGGAAGCCCTGATTCTGCTTCCCGTGGCCTCGCCGGCGTAGGTATAGCATTGAGTCCTAGGGCAGAACTAGCTCTCTTAGAGTGGATCCCAGTAGACAGTCGTTTGTGCGATGTCCGACTGAACGGAACAGTAAGAATCCGGAAAGATAGGGACACTCGTCGTTGCCTCTTCGTCGTCTCTGCCTATTCTCCCACTGACTGCAGCTCAGATGATGTAAAAGATGAGTTTTACAGAAAGCTTTCGGACCTTCTCCGAAAAGCTAAGCGCTCGGATGTAGTAATAGTGGCCGGTGACTTTAATGCTCAAGTAGGTAAACTAAGCGATAGGGAAAGACACCTAGGTGGATCTTATGGTGTCGTGGCTCAAAGAACAGATAATGGCGACCGTCTGTTGCCGCTATGCTCAGATAACCGCCTGTTCCTTGCAAATACTAACTTTAAGCATAAGGAAAAACATCTTTTAACATGGCGACCCCCTAATTCGTCCCAACGGTGGACCCAAATAGATCACATCGCTATCAGCCACCGATGGAGGGGCTCGATAGAAGACTGTCGCTCATTCTGGAGCACATGCTTAAATTCAGATCATGCTCTAGTACGAGCGCGTATTTGCTTGCGTCTTACTGGACGTAGGAAAGACGCTGCAAGGAAACTTCTTAGGGTCCTACTTAATGATAGTCAAGCTAAGAGTATATTTCAGTAACAACTAGGAAAACAGTTACGCAGCCATATAGGTGATACCCACTCCGAGGCAGCATGGAATGATATCCGAAAAGCTGTGGAAACAGCAATGATATCTGCTAGTAAGGTAAACCAGAAGGTTAGGGAGCAACACTGGATCTCAGCAGCATCTATCGCACTGATAGATGCTCGGAAACTCATTCCACCTGGCTCTGAACATAATGAAGAGCGGAGTCAGCATAAGCGCAAGCTGACAAGAAGTCTACGCAATGATCGCGAACAGTGGTGGGTAGCGAAAGCAAGAGAGATGGAAAAGGCAGCGGCAATAGGTAATAGCAGACAATTGTTCAGACTTGTTAAGGAAACCGACTGTTAGCGAAACAATCTCAGAGAAAGATGGACATATTATACATTCTCAATACAGGAGATTGGATCGATCGATAGGCAGAACACTTTAAGGATCAGTTCAACTGGCCTTCAGCCACACTTCGGTTTCCCACGATCTCTAGTCAACCTGAATGGCAAGTTAATGTAGGTCCTCCGTCCCTTTACGAAGTTGAAAAAGCCATAGGAAATCTGAAACGAGGGAGAGCAGCAGGCCCTGACAGGTTTACTCCTGAGATTTTTAAGGATGGTGGTCCAGTATTAGCAATGAGATTAACCGAGGTCTTAGGTAAAATTTGGGAACTGGACGTAATCCCATCTAGCTGGTCTCAATCACTGATTGTGCCAGTCTATAAGAAAGGACAAAAGTCCTCTTGTGACAATCATAGAGGAATCAGTTTGACTAATATAGTGTCTAAAATATTAGCTTCAATAATACTTCGACGCCTAATCAAAGCTCGTGAAGAGCAGATCAGAGAAAACCAGGCCGGTTTTCGACCTGGACGTGATTGTGTAGATCAGATATTCACACTACGTCAGGTTCTAGAACACAGACATACGTTCAGACGTCCCACAATGGTAGTATTTCTCGACCTTAAGGCGGCATTTGACTCTGTTGATCGTGAGGTTCTATGACAGTGTTTGTCACTGAAAGGAGTACCAAAGAAGTACATTAACCTTATAAAGGCTCTCTACTCGAACACAACTGGTAGAGTAAGAGCTTATGGCGAACTGTCATCAGAATTGATTACCTCAAGTGGTGTTCGTCAGGGCTGTCCACTCTCCCCATTCTTGTTCAACTTTGTGGTCGACGTACTTTTAGAGATAACACTCCTCATCTAAATTTCCAGGGGTTGAACTTCTACCGGGAGGTTCACTTGTTGACTTAGAATATGCTGATGACACAGTTCTATTTGGTGAAGACGCTGACAAAATGCAGAGTCTTCTGACCACTCTAAGCAACAATGCAAGCATGTTCGGGATGCGATTCTCTCCCTCGAAATGCAAAATGTTACTTCAGGATTGGGTTACATCCACACCCGAACTAGTGATAGGGAGTGAAGTAGTTGAGCGTGTCGATCGCTTCACTTATCTTGGAAGTCTCATCAGCCCTTGTGATCTGGTTTGTGACGAAATCTCAGCACGGATACAGAAGGCTCGACTAGCTTTTACCAACTTGCGTCATTCATAGCGTAGGCGAGATATCCATCTATCAACCAAAGGACGGGTTTACTGCGCAGCAGTTCGTCCCGTCCTACTTTATGGCAGTGAAACATGGCCGGTAAGAGTAGAGGATATTCGTAGGTTACTAGCATTTGATCATAGGTGTCTTCGAAACATTGCTCGTATATCATGGGACCATCGAGTAAGTAACACAGTTGTTAGGAAACGGGTACTAGGTAAGGATGGCAGACCAATTGATGAAGTGGTGAAACTTCATCAGTTAAGATGGCTGGGACACGTGTTACGTATGCCCAACGACCGACTGCCTCGACGTGCTATGTTCAGTGGTATAAGAGTAGGTTGGAAGAAAGCTAGGGGCGGCCAGACCAAAACATGGCACAAGTCCATGAAGTCACTGACAAGTGGATTGAGTGAGTCATGTTGGTAGGTGTAGACTACTTGGTTGGGGACCGCGAGATGATAGCAAGCGATGGTTAGAGACCCTGAATGACATGGTTCAAAATCGTTTGCAATGGCACAGGTGCATACACTCTTTGTGTTCTCTCAAATTTTAATCTCCTGATTCCTCCTTGTCACTTTTTTCCTCTTTCCAAATTTATTTCACTGTATTATACTCTTTAAATAACATCTCCAAACCCTAATCTTCCCGATTACTGCTTATACTCTTATTACCTCTACCACTACGGGATTTGAATCGACAACTGCATCTCTGTGCTAATGTGGTGTGGCAACTGGAACTGATGTACGTACGTACGAAGTTCTACGTTGTTACTGACTGACTGACTGAATATACATCTTGATAATTTAATCCCAGTGTGGTGTAGTAACTTGATTCGATACATTTCACAAGTCCTTACATTGCTTATGAATATGATTCCGTTCTGATCTATTTCGAAAGCTGTTTTTGTCGATAATTATACTTTCACTTACTATTAAATTATCGTAATTATTTTTTTATATACAAGGTCATGGCAATAAAAAACTGAATAAAAACCAACCTGAACATAAGACGTAAGTTCCCCTAATTGCCATATCTTTTCGTTTATCGGAAATCATGTTTTATGGTAAGTACTGCTTATCAACTTATTCAGGCAACTCCGTGACGAGTTACTGGTTCATTTCTTTGAGGTCACTTGTGCGAAGCTTGTTGAGCTTCGACCGCCTGTTCAAATCAAGATTGTTAAAAAAACTAAGCATTCAAATGATATTATACGCACTTTTCCGTATTTGCTTTGATTACCTTCACCGTTAGCTACTACATAAGCTTAAAAAGATGCATTTCTTCTCAAAGCTTGAAAAAGTACTTCAAAGTAATCAAATTTCTGCGTAAATAATCTTTTTTGAAACAGATCCCTCGCGAAAATTCTATTATATTTAGATATCAGTTGTCAGATTTTCGTAACCTGACACATAACCTGAGTCTACAAGTAAAAGAGGTTGCCGAAAAATACACTAATTATGATCAAATGAGGCATTAGTGATATATGAATTATTTGTTATTGATGTATTGTTAGTGGGATATTATAGATTGCATTAAAGCATGTTCCGTGCAGAATCGTGTTAGGGAACGCTGACTGGCCATTTCTTAGCCAATCAGCACCAGGGGATACTTGAGAAAGACTCTAGAATCTTGTGTGAAGATTATAAATATACTGACGTTTTTCTCATTGTAATTCCTACTTCCATTCAACCTTTTTGATTTGAAATATAATTATGTTCCTGTTCAACCGTTTTCTGATTTAGGAACTTACCTAGTGAAGTAAAGTGTATGAAGAATACTAAGCAATAAGACTAACTGGGTCATAGTACGAGAGATTGTAACACCGTACGCAATACAGATTGTCCTCATTATTGATGATCTTGCTGTTTTCTAAATTATATTCATGAAAAGGAAAGTAACAAATGTGACCACAAAAAATATATATCAGTGATTCACTAACAGTTTACCGCTTTGATTTTCAAAGCGATTAGACACCATAAAATCATGTAAACATTATTGGGTGTTCATTACATGTTAAGTATTGTTAGTGAGATGTCATTTTATCAATGGGAGTATTTCGTATTAGAAATTAATTTCTTAACAAAAATGATACGAGTTTCAGTAGCCATCCATGCCATAAACTAATCTATTTATTCTACTCACAGTGAGTTCCTGTGCATGAAGACTATTGGCTTTGGTTATAATGGTTGTTTACACAGAGCTTTCACTAGTAAATTTAACGTGATAGTTTTTTTCTGTTATGATATTGGATGATAGGAGCTCTACTCGATTCCATGTCAGTGATCTATAGATAAAGCGCTCTCTATGAGACCTAGAAGTCGTGGGTACGGTTCTTGGTAAACATTGTTGAAGCGCTGCCTCAAACTAAGATAAAATGATTATCCAGTGCTCCAAATTTTCCAGAGGTTCTCCCACCTGATGCCGATCCGCGATAACAACCATTTTCACACTGGTTTAATCTCTAAAATATAAAAAAAATTAATATCACTTCATAAGGGTTTGGTCATAGGCACAAATAATAACTAAGTAGTCGATATCTCATCAAGCAATCGGTTATTTTTATTGTTTGCGAACAGGATGTATGAATCACAAACTTGAGCCAAAGTTCGATAATCTATCTAATGTTTGTAAATTCACGTGATTGTATATGCGTATATGTAGTCACAGTATAAATTCATGGATACATGAATTCGTCATTTTTCATTTACGGTTCTTTTGAGCATATGCCAACATTCTGATTTTTGTTTCTAGTGTCCCTAATACCACCAATTCCAAGGGTGTTGCTGATGACAAAGTTGAACCCATTCGCAAACCACTTCTACGTCGTCTGGATTGCCTTAGCAACAATGGCATTCATGTGTCTCACGTACGAGAGCCAATAGGTCCACCAACTGAAGAAAGTGCTGGTTTTTTGCCTGGTTGGCGTGAATTACTCCGGTTGCAGCGAATGCTGATTCGTGACGGAGCTGAAGTGAATAAGTCTTCAGAAGCTGAACTTCAGCAATTGGATAATGCGATTGTTTGTATAGACTCCGGTGCAGTTTGCGCCTCTTAGAAAACAACCAGTCACATATAACAGAAGTATGTCAATTTTTCGGTGATAAATGCATCCTTCATGATCATCTATATTTCACTTGAACCACTCATATCTCTCCATTTTTGCTATATATATATATATATATACCAGATTCAGAATACAACAAAATTCTCTTGTCTAACACTGGTGACACATTCCTATTTTACAATAGATATTTCTGTAGTTAGACAAACGACATTGTTTCATCAAACTATTTCAGAATAATTGTTTCAATTCTTTTTTTAAAAGTTGCCTGTAATTTGAGATATCAATAGATGTATCTTCAAAGTAATATGACAATTATACAGTGTAAAATAAAGCATAATCATATGATGCATGAATACCGGAAAATTCGTTTGTGAGATCTTTCATTGCTTCTCTGATATATCATCTCTCAAAAAGACACTTGTTGACGGTTTAGTTCTGCTCTACAAGACGACATCCAAACAATACGTCCCAGAAACTTGAATACCAACATATTTTGCTATCGTTCCATGATACGATGGCAGATTTTCTCTGAGTTTGTTATCGGTGCCTAGTGTGTGAAGATTTAGTGTACTATGTGTAGACTGTATTCATGATACGTAGTGTGTCTAGACGTCTTCACATGTTTGTTTTATGTGTTTGTGTCATCAGACTAATTCTGTTGTTCTGTGTTATTTAACCTATTCGTTGCTGTCAACGATAGTACTTGTAAGGTAATATGGACAAAGATTTCAGCAGAATAGCATGAATTCATTTTATTTCGTTTGGTCGTCGTCAGCTGCTTACAACCTGTGACATTTAAAAATTATAATTGCATACATGGAAGAGTTTAGTTGGAAGTTACTTTGAAGACACGACAGTATAGTATAGCAAGGGTGTAAATGAATTCAATAGACTGAATAGAATACTGTTGTTAGCGGAATATAAATTGAATTAAAGCACATTCCGTGCAAGATTATGTCGGGGCACGCTGATTAGTTATTTCTTGACCAATCAGTGCTAGTGGACACTTGAAGACTCTAGAAAAACCATAAATATTCTAAAGTTTTTCTTATTGTAAGTCCTACTTCCATCTACCCTTGTTATTTGGAATATAATTTCGTTCCTGATCAACCGTATTCTGATTTGGGGACTTGTCGAGTGATTTGGTGTCCAAGAATACTAAGCAATAAGAGTAGCTGCGTCGTAATAAGAAAAATTATAACAACTGTGAATATACATATTATGGGAAAGAAAATTCTACGACATAGATATTAACAAAAGTCCAAAGAGCTAGAAACGTAACGAGTAAACGCTGATAATACGTAAGAATAAAGTGAGTAAAGCTCAGTCTATAAAGATAAGATCACTAGCTTAGAAGACAGACGGAATAAAAAGACAATGTACGTAATTAGTTGAAGGAAGATTGAACATAATTTTCATGTTACCAAAGCTAAAAAAGGTTTAAATCTTTCGAACGCTTAAATCAGGTTTCTGACGCCCGTTAGCAACGGTTTTAATAGACTAGAGCTTGACTGTTTACGAATCATTTCGAAGGATTGCAGTGTCGAGTTTATGTCCTTTATCCAACAGATGTTTGGTAATTGTGCTGTTTAAAATAGTTCCCTCTTGTTCGAAGACTTTTTGAAACGTATTCAAAAATGTAAGATACGGCCCCTTTTCTGTTCGACCAACATAGCTGTTTTGGCAAGAACTTATAAACACAGTTGGCGGTAATATGAGTGTTTATCGGCATTTGATTAAGTGACTAAACATGTTTTATACAATATTAATAGTTTGCCTGCCGGGTACGTTTTGGTTAGATTCAACACGTTAAAACAGTCTAAGAAAATCCCATGATTCATAATGATAGTTTGATGCTATCCTTTCTCTCATGTTATACATTGTCGTCAAATACACTTATTAAACAAGTTTGCAATAGACAAGGATCCCTTTAAATTTACAATTTATTCATTAGTTTTCCTACCGTTTAGGTACATATTCAGTCATCACGTATAGGATATTACGATTTCTCCACTCGATGTGTCTCTATACGCACATAAGCTGATTAACACAGTCTGAAATAACCTAGTCACCTATATAGTGTTTGGGTGTTATGATTAGCTTAACTAGAGAATTCACATGTCTCAAGAGTAAGGGATTTATTGTAAGTAGATTATTCGCATAGTCGTTATCTTAATTAGTTCGGCCACCCATAAATAAGCGTATGTCGTATTATTATTCAGATTCGGGCAACACAAAATCCTGTAGTTTTAGTCGTCTCCTTCATAGCTGGGTTGTTCAGTTGTAAGCGGAGTTGTATAGTAGCTAAGTCGGGTCACATTATCTGGCCTCTTCAGTGTAAGATAAATGTACTAGATGGGACTAGATCTCAAATTTTACGGCCCATAAGTCTTAACAGATATCTACTCAGCCGCATTATTTTTTACTTGAAGTGGCTCTTTTGTTGTTTCATCCGCATTTGATTATGTCAGTCAGTCAGTCAGCTACAACGTAAAACCAGGCACATATGTGCATCGGTCCAAGTTGCCATACCGCATTAGCACAGCAAGATGAACACCGGATTCATAGGAGTGGTTAAGTCAAAGGTGGTAATATGTAAAAGAAAGATTGAATATAAGGATATAGTACAGGAAGAAAGATTTCGTACGTAGAACGAAAGATATGAAGCGATTTTAATCTCATAGTTTAAGGGAGTACAGAGAGTGTATACACCTACGCCATTGTGATGGATTCTGAGCCATATCACTCCGAGTCTCCAACCATTGGTTACGATAGTCACGCGGACTCCAACCAAGTAGTCTGCATCTCCCAACATGGCTCAGACTCGAAGTTAGTGACTTCAAGCACTGATGCCACGTTTTGGTATGGCCGCCCCTAAATTTCTTCCAACCAACTCCAACAGCAATCAGCATTGCACGTCGTAGCAATCGGTGTTCAGACATACGTAACATGTGGCCCGACCATCTCAGTAGGTAAAGATTCACAATCTCATCAACTGACTTACCATAATTCAGGTGTTGACGCAGACCAGTCCTGAAGCAACAACTTGTATTTAGAGGGAGAGGATCGCATTCCAAACATTCTGGCATTGTTGCTTGCTGCTACCAGGAAACTCTGCATTTTATCAGAATCTTCACCAAACAGGACTATATCACCTGCGTATTCTAAGCCGATAAGTGAACCTCATGGTATGAGATCAGTGACCGAAAATTGAGTCGATGAGAGCGTTACTTCCATCGGTATGTCTATGATGGAACTAAACAAAAATAAGGATAGTGGACAGCCTTGACGGACACCACTTGAGGTTGCAAAAGCAGACGACAGTTCGCCATAAGCTCTCACTCGACTAGTAGTGTTCGAGTAAAGAGCCTTCACAAGGTTTATTTACTTCTGAGGTACACCTTTGAATGACAGACAGTGCCACAGAATCTCGCGGTCTACAGAGTCAAATGCTGCTTTTAAGTCAACAAAGACCACCATTGTCGGATGCTGATAAGTGTGCCTATGTTCTGGAACCTGACGAATGGTGAGTATGCGGTCGATGCAGCCACGACCAGGTCTGACGCCAGCTTGATTCTCTCGTGTTTGCAGTTCACGAGTCTTAGTTAGGCGTCTGATAATTATCGAGGCTAGTATTTTAGATATTATATTAGTTAGACTAATCTCTCTGTGGTTGTCACAGGATGATTTTGACCCTTTCTTATATATTGGGACGATAAGTGATTGTGACCAGTTAGATGGAATAACGTCTAACTCCCAGATTTTAGCTAAAATATTAGTCAACCTAATCGCTAAAATTGGACCACCATCCTTAAAGACCTCTAGAGCCAATCCATGTGGAGCAGCTGCCCTTCCTCGTTTCAGATTAACTATAGCCTTTTGAGCTTCAGCTCGAGTTGCGTGACCTCCTTCAATGTTCCATTCAGGCTGTCTGGGAATGGTGCGTAGTTATAGAGTAGCTGAAGGCCAGCTTAACTGTTCTCTAGAATGTTTCGCCCATCGTTCTAAACGTCTGATGAGAGTGTCGTCTTTTTCCGAGATAGTCTCTTTTACACTTGACTTTTTAGTTCCAGTTTCTTTTATAAGTCTGTAGAGCTGTCTTGTGTTCCCTATAGCCGCCGCCTTTTCTATCTCTTTTGCTTTCGTTGCCTACCACTGCTTACGGTCGTTCCTTAGACTTTGCTTAACCCAGATCTGATTTGTTTTCGCTCTTCATCGTGTTCAGAGCCTGATGAGATGAGTTTACGAGAATCCGTCAGTGCAATAGACCTTGAGGAAATCCATTGGTTCTTTGTAACCCTGTGGTTTAAATCACCAGTAGATGTCACAACTGGTCTATTCCTACCTTGGAATTAAAGTCACCTGCTACGAGTACTATGTCTGAACGTTTAACTTTCTGAAGAAGTTCAGATAGCTTTCTGTAAAATTCATCTTTCACTTCATCCGAGCTGTAGTCAGTGGGAGCGGAAACGACAAAAAGGCAACGACGTGTGTCCCTATCTTTACGAGTTCTTACGGAGCTGTTTAACCGAACATCACAGGGATCCACTCTAATATTGCTTGTTCCACCCTCATGGTTAGTGCTATGCCTACACCCGCCAATCCACGAGAAACTAGCCATCGGGACGCCAGATACACGAAGGGTGTATCTCGTCGGCTCTCCGTTTTGCCGAGGTGAGGTCAAGTGACTGACCACTCAAGGGTTCTGTATGCGTGTTTCGGAGACATAGATATCGGTACAAGGAGGCACCAAATACATAAGCGCCACACAAATCCCATTTGATATGTGTGAGGGCTGTGATACTGCCCGGGTGCCCAAACCGAAGCAGGTGGTTTTCTGGGGGGGGGCACACCCGGAACCTTCGACCTGAAGGTCTGATCCACAAGGCAGTGGAGCATCGTAAGGAGATGCAGTCCCATGGCAGCTGGTGAACAACAATGGGTTCATACGCCATTTGTTCCTTCATGATACTGGAGCCCATGTGCACCATTGTTTTGGGAATCAGGGTTTTTCAACTCCCCTAGGTGGAATCTCCATGTCCACCAACCCGGTTAAAGCACCGTAAACAACACCCCCGCCACAAGAAGGCTGTGTGTAGGACTTCCCTAGCAGAGGCTATATACGCGTGACCATGTGGGAGCATTTCGAGAGGGAGAGCGTACTCCCCCACTCTCGGCCGTACCAGGGCATTTGGGGGCGGTTTTCAATTCCCGGTCGCCCACACCGTGGAGGGGTCCTTCTGGAGGTGCCTGAAAACAAAATAGGATTAGAGGTTATCTTAGTGAACTGAGAGCGGGACCGCGGTGCCGAAGGGATAACTGCTTGAGGTCGGTCACACACGACCTTTTTATGAGTAGTTTTTGTGTTAGCTCTATACTTGTTGAAACCTTACCGCCGGAGACGGATATCCGTGGGATAAGGCGAGGTGTGCATTTTTAGGGTCGACCTTTTCCACCCCACCTCTCCTTGTGGGAAGGTAGCATCACTGTCATGCTGGTTGTCTGAAGGAAACACCTTACTGCTGTCACACCTCTGTACAGTCAGCAGTACGAATTCGGACCTTAGGTTTGTTGCTTTTAGTTTACCACTCTTCAGTCGACCTGTTTGGCATGGTAGGACCTTGAGGAACGGTTGTTCCAGCCAGTATAGCTCGGTTTGTCTCACAACGACAGACAAGCCCGACCACCACGTCAACGTAGCAACAACGATCGGGATTTGATTATATAGGATAGATCATCCATCAAGCCTCGTTTGCATGGCACTAGGTTAAGAAATATGGCGACTAGAATACTGCTCTGTCCATGTGGACTTTCTGCAGTTTGTAATAGCCTCGTTCAGTATACCCTTGGGAATTTCGCTGAACTCTTGCCGATTTTTAAGTCATGTAAACTACTTTCGGCCTGTTTGTATCATGTTTAGTCTTATTAATGGACACTATATTAGTCTGTCGCGGTGATTGTATATTTGCGTATTTCCTGCCTTTTTCGGATGGCTTCTTGTTCCGCTGGTTGTTAGAATTATACATTTAAAATGTATATAGTGGTACTTTTGGTGAATAATAATCCACAGGTCAGGTGCTGTTTTTTTCATATTCCACAGCTCAGTAGGGGGTAAGGTACCGAGAAAATTGCATTTACTGTTAATTCATATGCCTTCAGTTCAAATCCGTTCCTATAATCATAATAATCCTCTCACTTATCAATATTCAGTGCCCTCATATTATCTCTCCTCTGTGTTTTATCAGCCTTTTCACATTTGCTGATTACCGGTACGATCAAATATAACTTCACATGCATTGATACGGACTATGTATGGTCTGTTAACTTCTTATGAACGTTTATTTCATCCTAAACTATTAGAATCCTTCTACGGAGTCAGTAATAGCAGTTCGAAATTTACTTGGACAAAATTGAATTTACCCGGCCAATCAGTCCTAACCAACACAATAAACAAGCATCGACTTAAGTTGCCAAATCACACCAGCATACCGAGATGAGTTGTAAAGTTTCCAAAGTTATAGTAGTATCAATGGTAGTAGAAGTATGGTCCGAAAAGAATGGATAACACAAGAAAATAAAAAATGAAATGACAGAGACAAAACCTAAGGTAAGATAGAGAGTGAAAGCTTCTGTAACCAATTTTAACCACGTCACTCAAAGTTTCCAGCCACTGGTCTCGATGAACCCGGTAATGTAAGAATGACTTGGGGTGGCATAATAATTTTGTAGATTGATCCTGTTCTTATTTTGTTGCTCCTGTCTTTCAACCTTCTCTTATCCCAGACATTGTGGGTTGAGTTAGACGGTGGTTGAGGGTACGTGATATCAATAATTAGAAATCTGGAGACTCATCAACCAGCTAATATAAGTTATATACATAAATTAACAGTAATACTCCTGAACAAGTGAATTCATCTGATCACATTACGTCACTAAAATATTTATTTAGAATTACGTATAACATTAAACCAAAATGGTATAAATTGGTCAGTTATGCAAAGCAAAGCTCTCGTGACTAGCTTGTTCAAGTTTCAGTAATCGAGGGCGTCAATTCACCTGCGTTCGCAGTCGAACATACCATTTCTTGTTATTTTCCTTCGTGCTTGTTATTTTTCGAACTTTCCTACACTTATAATTCTCCGTAATACACCGGTTTTATATATTTACTACATCAACGAGGGATAAAGTTTTTTGAAGGGAACGACCTACTGATTAGTCAATTGGCCTATCGGGTTACAGAGCATCGTAAGGACGAAATGTTATTATCAACAAAACGCTGGTTGATGGGCCACACAAGTGGATTTATTTTAAAAAAGGCTATTAACACAGAGAATCTGATGAACTTCGCTATATTAAGTTCCGCTGTGAATATTATTATTCATATCATTACATAAAATGACTTTTGCCAAATACTACTTACATAAATGTCAGTTTATGTTAACAAAAACAGGAAATTTAAGTACTTGGGCCAACTTTTCAAATAATATCATCTTCGACTGAAAAGAGTACACTAAACAACTGTTATAATCAAGTACATACACGCTTTTTCCAGACAACATTCAAATGTAATGCCTAATGATGAAAGTCGAATCTTACGTAACACTAGGATCTCGTAGATTTAGTTCCATAAATTAAAGATGATTGACTTCAAATGTACAACAACCTAGCCTTAACAAACTAATAATCGGAGTAGTATCTATCTTGAATTGTATATATCAAAATGGGTCTTTAAAGACAGACAAAAGTGAACAAGCGCTGATTGTTTTAGAATATTCATCCTAGATTATTTATTTAAATAACAATTAATTCATACTATATTAGATATTTTGAATATAAACAGTTTTTATAACACCCTTCTCCTGTGAAAAACATCCATTCAGTAATCCTATACATTCCGATAATCTTACCGATCAATCGAGCTGTTATAGCATCAAATAAACTAATTATAGTTTCAATAAAGTATTGTCTAAGGTTACATTTCACTATCAAAGACGTGATAACTCACTTTTTTGGTTAGAACTAATAAATTTTGTTAAACGATGTAACAAAATAAACTAATCAAAGAGTATTCACCTAATTATTAGCGATCACAGTGTAAATTGACCTGAAGAGTACAAAACAAAAAGAGAAGAACAATGAGGAATGGGAAGGATAATTCCAATTTCAAGTATGAAATCAGTATTTATATTTACCTAACTACAGGCTTATCATAGTGAATATTTACAATAACAAATGTAATTTTATAGAAAAGTTCAGTGCATAAGTCTTTTGAAAGGTAATAAGAAAATTGGATTAAACAAAAAATGTTTATATTTGATTGTATAATCACAGATAAATTTTATTAAGGAAAATTCCACTTTCCACAACGTAAATCTTCTTTGACTTTGTGTTGAACAAGTTGCATGCAGGCAACAGCATCCTCCATACTGTTGTGACCATTCTCTTCATTAAAAGTAACGAAAATAAATTATTTACATTAATACCATAAAATATGTACCTACAATTGTCAAGTAAATAAAAATTAAGATACCTCACTTTGTAAATACAATACACCATATACTTGAATCATAATTTCATTCGAAACTTTATCGCTATTATTATATCTGAATGGATTTAGGAAGGGTTATTCTTCGGGAATTCATGACGTGCGTTTCGCCGTATCTGGGACTTGCCAGCTGGAAGTACCTGTATCCTAAGGTTGATGTTTATCATAGGATTCGACCGTTTGTTTCAAGCGGCATCGCTCTACCCAATTAGCTAGTGACTACCATCAACTTGTGTGACCGGTTTGAAACTTAATTTAATCTGAAATGGCCTATGTTATCCTATTGTTGGTATTTTGACTGAAATTTTGTTCAGTCTTGGCGTATAGTCATCCTGTGCGAATTGGCCTCAACAGTCATTATGACATAGGGTGATATAGAACAGATGGATGCCAACCGAGACTGACCGGATTTCATTCAAAATATCAACAATCGGATATTCCAATCCATTTCAAATATAATTTGATCCTACGGGGAGTACTTTTATTATTTTAATTTATAGTTATTAAATTTTCTTTCAGTTATCGTATTTTTATATTCCCCATATTGTATGACTTCGGTTGATGCATAAACCATTGTTAAATGTCTTACTTTCCTACGGTAAATACAAATGGTAGCAATAAATAAAATGTATGAACTGGTAATTCACAGGTCTGTTCAATACACACTTTAGTGGTCATAAATGGACCAGCACTTAAGTAAGATAGAGTACGGTGATAGTAGTGTATGGTACCATATTGTAATTTTAATTCAGAGATCAATAATATATACAGCAATGATTATTATACACAAACATCACACTTTCCTAAGTTAGTATTCATTGTTTACAAACCCATAACTTAATTTTCCTTCACTTATGGCATGGTCACTCACACATTACAATTGTTGTGTCCAGGTGTATGATGTATAATATCGCCCCCTGAATGCCCTGGTACGGCCGAGAGTGGGGAGAGTCCGCTCTCCCTCTCGAAATACTCTCACACGGCCACGCGTATACAGCCTCTGCCAGGGAAGTCCTACTCATTGCCTTCTCGTGGCGGGGGTGTTGTTTACGAAAATGAGAGGACGAAAAGCGAATGTCCGGCGCTTTAACCGGATTCCAAACCAATGGTGCACATGGGCTCCAGTATCCTGCGGGAACGAATGGCGTATGAACCAATCGTTGGTCACCGGCTACCATGGGACTGCATCTCCTTACGATGCTCCACTGCTTTGTGGGTTAGACCTTTAGGTCAAAGGCTCGGGGAGTGGCCCCCTAAGATAACCACCTGCTTCGGTTTGGGCACCCGGGCAGTATCACAGCCCACACACAAATGATGAACTGTTTATGTCTATGGAAACTACTTTTGTCGCTTTGAAAAACAATCAATTGATTCAAATTATGATCACTTCAATTATTGTCATTATTAATAATAATATTATTATTACTACTATCATTGTCATTATTGTTATTATTATCATTATTATTATTATTTTCCACATTATTCACCTTCTTTTATACTTATACAGCGGCTCGTCTTTGGTGGAATTCCGACTGTATCTAAACGTTCTCGAGTCACTGTCCGGTTGAAAATTGTATGTTACCACCGAATACGAGGACTGAAGCAGATTTTCTGAAACCACGTGCATCATTCAAACTGGCTGCCTTCAACGTTCTCACACTTATGCAGGACGGACAACAGATAGGGTTGACTATGTCTTTGGAAAATTTTAATATAGGCGTCTGTTGTCTATCCGAGACCAGTATTCAAGACTCTGGTGAAGTACTACAAATTTGCTCTCCATATGTCGCTTCGAAAAGCTTGTTTTACGTGCGCTTATCCGGGGACCTTGTGGCATCTTCGTCTGGCCTTACTGGCGTTGGTGTCGCACTGAACGCTAGAGCTGAGGCAGCACTAATCGACTGGATCCCCATTAACAGTCGGTTATGTGCTGTGAGATTAGAAAGTTCCATCAAAGTGAGAAAAAATCGGTGTGAGAAACGATGTCTTTTCGTCATCTCCGCCTATGCCCCGACAGATTCTAGCCCGGATGCAATCAAGGATGAGTTTTACCACCAGTTATCTGTTCTTCTCCAGAAAGTGCGTTCGACAGATGTTGTAGTACTAGCCGGAGACTTGAATGCTCAGGTCGGGCGTCTAGGCACAGAAGAGAGTCGTTTGGGTGGTCGATGGGAAATTGTTGGTCGCAGGTGAAATAACAGGGACTGTCTACTGCAACTGTGCATAGACCACAACCTGTTTCTGGCTAGCACTAACATTCGGCACAGTCATCGCCGATGTGCCACCTGGCGTCCTCCCTCTGCATCTCAAGCCTGGACTCAGATTGATCACATCGCGATCAACTACCGCTGGCGTGGTTGTGTACAAGACAGCCGCTCCTTTTCGAGTACCTATCTGCACTCTGACCATGCCTTGGTCTGCGCCAATCTTGCCTTACTTTTCAGTGGACAACGAAGTGACCGTCACCAAAGGATTGATGTCAGCAAGTTGGTTGCAACTCCTGTTGCAAGTAAGTATCGAACCGAGCTAGCTTCTAGGCTAGCTATCATTCCACCGCAAAGTATAGATGAACATTGGTTGCAATTGCAAGACGCCATGAAAATGGCGAGTAAAGTCACTTGTGGGTTCGCGAAACGTCCCGCTTATAAGCACTGGGTTTCATCTGGTTCCCTGCAACTCATTGAAGCCCGTCGGTCTACTCCGGGTGACCATGAGTTTGACCACAAACGAAGGATGTTGCGTAATGAAATTGGGCAACGCTTGCGTGAGCACTGAGAAGCCTGGTGGTCGGAGCGTACTAATGAGCTGGAAGCAGCAGCTGCATCTGGTAACTACCGAAAGCTCTTCCAACTCATCCGAGCCACTGGCAGCAAAAAGTCTGGTTTGAGCGAAACAATCTGCAAGGATGACGGGATGCCAATCACTAACATCCATCAACGTCTTGGACGATGGGCAGAATTCTTCGAAGGGCAGTTCAACTGGCCTGTTGCTCCGGCAACATCGGTCAGACTGTCCTGCCCTCCATGGCCGGTAACGACTGGTCCACCAAATAAGGCGGAAATCTGCAAGAACGTCCAACTCTTGAAGCGCTACAAATCACCAGGCCGAGATGACTTACCTCCGGCTCTCTTTAAAGATGGTGGTGACTTTCTGACTAATGAACTGACTGTGTTGTTTACAAAGGTCTGGGAACTAGAGAGTGTTCCAACGTCCTGGAACGAGTCGATAGTTATCCCTATCTTTAAAAAGGGTTCACGTCCTTACTGTAACAACTATCGTGGGAAGTCTACTTCCGATGTGGTCCAAGCTATTGGCTTTCGTCATACTTCTTAGGTTGTTCAAAACCCGAGAAAGATTGACTCGCGAGGAGCAGGCTGGGTTTCGTTCTGGTCGACGATGTATTGATCATATCTTCACCCTCCGTCAAATGTTAGAACACCGTCATACTTATCACAGGCCAACAATCGTAGTGTTTCTTGACATTAGGGCTGCCTTCGATTCGTTGGACAGGACTGTTCTCTGGGGTTGTCTATTGAATAAGGGTGTACCTGGGAAGTTTATTAACATCCTGAAGGCCCTATATACAAACACCTCAGTCAGAGTGAGGGCATACAACCACCTCTCTCCATTGTTCCCAATCTCACCATTCCTCTTCAACTTGGCCATCGACAACATTCTGGAAACAGCTCTGATGGATGTAAGCAGTAGAGGTGTGGATCTGTTGCCTAGAGAAAGACTTCTCGACCTTGAGTATGCGGATTATATTGTCTTACTGTGCGATAATGCTCAAGCCATACAATCCGCACTTAATCAGTTGGCAATCAGTGTCCGTAGATATGGTATGTGCTTTGCACCTTCGAAGTGCAAAGTACTTCTACAAGACTGGCAGGATTCCAATCCTGTACTCACCCTGGATGGTGAGCAGATAGACGTAGTCGAGAAGTTCGTGTATCTGGGTAGCTGCATAAGTGCTGGTGGGGGTGTGAGTGATGAGATCAATGCACGAATAGTGAAAGCCAGAGCGGCTTATGCCAATCTGGGCCACCTTTGGCGCCTTCGTGATGTTAGTCTGGCTGTAAAAGGCCGGATCTACAACGCGTCGGTGAGAGCAGTTTTGCTCTATGCTTGTGAAACCTGGCCTTTCCGAGTTGAGGACGTTAGACGACTCTCTGTGTTCGATCATCGCTGTCTCCGAAGGATTGCTGACATTCAGTGGCAACACCATGTCAGTAATGCAGAGGTTCGGCATCGTGTGTTCGGGCACAGAGATGATAACTCAATTGGTGTCACCATCTTGAAACACCGACTTCGGTGGCTTGGACATGTTCTCCGAATGTCGTCCCAGAGAATTCCACGTCGTGCATTATTTGCCGACTCTGGGACTGGTTGGAAGAAGCGGAGAGGTGGTCAGTGCATGACATGGTGTCGTGGCATGAAAGAAAGCTGCAAAGGACTGGCTTGTGTTGGTCCTTCACGACTCCCTGGCTGGGGTCCGAGAGATGGTGCTACACAGTGGCTAGAGACGTTATCAGATATGGCTCAGAATAGAAGCCAGTGGCGATCCTGCTGTAACCTTCTTTTACTTTCTTCATAAAAAGTGGTTGTGTCTCCTTTACCTGAAAGATTTCTTCTGATTGTACCTCTTCGTCATTACTCTCTTTTTCTTTTGCGTTCCTTAGTTTTTTTTTTCTTCTTCTCTTCGAATTCCCATTGTTTTGTGTGGCGCATATATATTGGCGCTCTCTTGTACCAATATTTATGTGTTCAAATAAATAAATAAATAATAAATAAATAAATGTATAATATCATGGGTTTTGAGTCATAATGAATAAGTGTATAACAAAAGTTATATTTGCTTTCTAAGTTCGAACTAGAGGAAAGCTGCATCAAAGATCAATCGGGATAAAAATTTATAACGGGTGTGGCATAAAAATAATTAATTGTTGTCGGCCCAAATGTGTCAATGGTCACAGTAAACCTCAGTAGTTTAATGATAGTGAAGTGTATTCATACCAAAAGGACGGTATCTACTGTTTATTTTAAAGAAAATGAAAAAAGACTCATCGTTATAATAAACATATTAACGTAAAGCAGATTAAGAACGAGCCAAAATTAGTAAGATTTATGTTATCCGTTGCATTTTTAACAAATACATAAACCAATAAACCTACTTACCATCTTGTTGTATAATTTGTTGAAGTATTTCACTAACTAAATTCCTTAAAGCTCGTTTCTTTGGTAAACCTAAACGATGCGGAAATACAATAGAAGTATCGACAATTTTCTTATGTATCAATTTAAGGGCAGTTAAATCACTTTCTAAACTATGACCAATTAATATTGTATCCGAATCGAATAAATGCAATAGTTTTGCTTGAATATCAGTAATATGATATTTTGCCTGTTCTATATCTTCTAATTTTAAACCAGAAAAACGTGAATTACAATCAATAATTGGATTGTCTGGACAAACAAATTCATCGAGAATAACTTGAAGTTTTGGATTGATAATAGTAATTCTAGCTAGTTCACAACCACCAGTTGTATAAACCATTTCACAATCAAGAGCGTACACATTACAACTTGAATTATTGTCATTATCTTCATCATATTCTTGTGATTTTGGAAGTGGTGGCAATGTAATAACAAAACCTTCATTATCTAGCCATTTATTAGCATCGTGAACATGACCTTTAGGACAGATTTGACAGCCTGGTTGACCAATATCACCATTACAACATAAATATCGTAAATCAAATCCTTGACCAAAACCTGTAAGGAGAACAAAAACAGTGAAGTCATATACACACAAAATATGAACATGTATGAGAAGTGAAGTAAGGTAAAGTGATTCTATTTACCTAGTAAAAGCTTGTGCACTGGGACTTTGAGTCATAATTATCTATGATAACAAATATCATACTCCATTTGGCTGTCTAGACTATAAGTAGGCATGGAAGGATTAAAACTTGAAATTCAGTGGTTGAACATCAATAATTTTAGCCAATAAACCGCTATCTCATTAGAAGTGGAGTGAGATATATTAGATCCATGGTGACAATCATAAATCTTAATAAAATGTATATTTAATACCACAAATTTTGAAAAGATGACATGAAGTCGTGATAGTATTTTAATCTAAAGTAAAATATGTATATATTAGTTAAATACATAGAACTTACTAAAAGATACTGTAAATATTTAGAAAAATAAATAAATAATAATTATTGAATGAAAAACAAAAGTATGAAAATTACTTTTAAGATGAATAGATTTTCAAATGGTTTTCTAAAAGATCTACATTAACAAACAACATTGAAACGTTATATTTATTCGTTTAGTCCTATGGTAATACTACCTAATACCTAGCTCCACAAGAGCAGGTAAATTGGTAAATGCACATTGAGTTGGTCAGATGCGATAATTTATCTTTCAGATTATTGGTGAACAGTGATCGGCTGGAGAATAATATATAGGTCGTTCGATGCGTATTTTATCCTAAAGAATTCAAGAACATTGTCCGGCGTGGCTAAAAAGAGGAGGCAACGGCTCAATAAGAAATTCTATAATCGAACACCTTGTGAACACAGGTCACTCAATCAAGACAGACTGCGTTCAAAGTCATCTACAAGGTAAGTAGAAGCCTTCCTAAGACAATTAGACTGCATCTTCTTTGCATTGCCGAGGCAATAGCCATACATTTTGGAAAACCAGAATTATCTGTACAAAAGAGACGAGTACAACCTCTTCTACCATGGTCTTAATGTATTAAAAAAAAATTTTCTTTCTTCATACTCTTGTTCCCTTACAGCCACCTGCTTCACCTTCCATCTTCCCTTCAAATCTTCTACCCCCAACCGGTTTGTTTTTATTTCCACGATCATTCCGATTACATTTCATCTCTGTCTCAACATTTTATTTTATCATGCTTAGCCATCCTTACCCAATGAATACTTCAGCCATTAACTATCAAACGATTATTAATCTTTCCTTGCCTAAAAATTTTTTTCAATACCTTTGTTTATTTAACCTCCTTGTCACCATGTATAACAAGTTTATTATCAGTATTATTATCACCCTGTAAAAATAAGTATATATATTTGCGATTGTACAGCTTTGAAAATGAATTCGCCGAAAAGAGAACTCTTCGCTGAACTAATCTTTCTTTCTTATTTAATGTCATAATGGGTGTATTCCGTTTATTTATAAACAACATTGAAACGTTATATTTGTCGTAACCTTGAATTTACCTTGGTAATCCTTAAGTCATTTTATGGCCTAGGATAACGCGACAATTTCTTATTCTTTCTCTCCCCTTAGTTATTTTAATTGTACCTTTATTAATTTTCATATAAAAATGCCTTGACAAGTATATGTGTGACCAGATTGTTCGA